AGAAGATGTGGTTTATCTATACCATGGAATACTACATGGCAATGAGAAACAATGAAATCTGGCCATGTGTAGCAACATGGTTGGACCTTGAGGGTGTTATGCTGAGCGAAATAAGTCAGGCAGAGAAGGACAAATATCATATGTTTGCACGTATAGGAGGATTAGGAGGAACTTGACGGAGGAACAAGGGGGAGAAGAAGGGCGGAAATGGTGGGGGGAAGGGAGAGAGGCAAACCATGAGAGACTCTTGAATGCTGACAAAAACTGAGGACTGATGGATGTGGGGGGAGGGGGGGATGGGCATGGAGGAGGACACTTGTGGGGATGAGCACTGAGTGTTATGTGGAAACTAATTTGACAATAAACTATTTGTAAAAAAAAAAAAAAAAAAATTAGCAAGATGTTATTGAATATCTCCAAAAAGACAGGATACCATAATATAGAAGGAATGGGGATAATAGAGAAAATGAGCAAAATATATGGCTATAAATAATTCAAAGAAAAATGAATTCTCTTTTTTCCTCTTCATTTTCTATATATTGCTTTAGAAATAAAAAATAATCGTATCTTTTTTTCTTAGCTAAAAAACAGAAAAATATGTTTTTGAGGTAGAAGATAGAAAATTTTCACTGAAGGAGGCTATGTAACTCCTTAATATGTTCAAAAGTATAAATAATAATCCTATATATTTGGATGGTGCTTTGTAAGTCATGTGGGATTTTCATATGTTGTCTAATTTATCTTTTGCAACAGCCCTGTGATATAGATATTGTGGTATTTTTTTTCACTTGTGGATAAGGCAATTAAGGCTCAGAGAGGTTAAAGGAGTTGGACAAGTTCACACATAAGGTAAGTGGCATAGCCAGTACTTAAACTTAAGTCTTCTTACTCCAAATCCCGCATTTTATCGCTATATCACAACGAAAAACTGAGTTAATTACAGGGGAAAGTCAATTCAGTTTATCAGTGAATGAATGATCTGCAAGCACAGCAATATATCTTAGCAAACCACAGCCATAAAAGCTCCATCTGGAACAAACTGCCCAATTCCAGAAATATAGGCCACATAAAAATCATTCCTTACCTGAAATTAGAAGAGAAAACTTCCAACACTGCTGAATAACAGCCTAGTCTCACAGGGCGGCTTCTTTGACTTAACCGAGAACTGTACCTTCATTCATTATTATTATGTTGACTCATATTATCATTCAATAGATGATGGCTGTGGACATAAAAAGAAAAAAAAATGTTATTCTTTAAACAAGCTTATCATATGTTCAAAACTTTTCAACTTTTCAATGACTATAATTTTGAATCAACACAATTCCTGTATTGAAAAGCTATCATTTCCAGTTGGAAAAAAATTAAACACTGCACTGAAAATTACAAAAGTACATGCCATCAATCAAAATGTGAGCAGGAAGAAAAACTGAAGAAGAGAATGATTTGAGGGGTGTGGGATAAATTATAAAGGGTAATAAACATAAAAAAGAGGAAATCATAATACAAATGCCAGAGGAAGACAATAGGATATTGAAGACAGAGGGTAGGAATGACAAGATCATATGTAGAAGATAAAAATCAAATTAATTTAGTTGGAGCAGAAGGGTGCTTCCTGGGAAACTGCAAAATATAAAGTGTTTTGAAACTATCAGGTTAAGGATTTTAGATACTAATAAGAAACTGAGAGTACTTGACCCAAGAAAATAATGAAAATTAGAAGACTTATCTGGCAGCTACTGATAGTATGAATGTACCTTTAGGAAATTCAAGACATAACATACAATCCAACACAAGGTACCTCCTGGTATGATACAAATGATGTTTCAATATCACCTATGAATACATATTGCCCAGAATGTTTATATTGAATCTAATGAAGTTAGAGTATACAAAATTTTTAAAGATTAAGAAGTTAAGTCACAGTATGAGCAGTTAAACAAATCCAGAATGTGGAATATTCTTAGATGTGGAGAACCATTTCAAAGTCCAAAGAAACAAAAAATTAAATGCAGTGCATGAATTTCTATTAAATTTGTATTTCTTCAAAAGTTCTAAAATCTTATATTAGGACTTGGGGAAATTTGCATGTAGATTAGATACCAGATGACCTAGAATGAAATGGCGAAGAATGTAAAAAGTATGTCTAGGAGCGCCTGGGTAGCTTGGTTGGTTAAGCATCCAACTTCAGCTCAGGTCATGATCTCATGGTTCATGAGTCTGAGCCCTGTTTCCTGTGAGCTCAAGCCCCTGCATAGAGTGAGCATGAGCCCCACTTGAGGCTGTGCTCCCTCTGCCCCTCTCAGGCTCTCCCTCTCTATTCCCCTCATGGGATTCTCTCTCACTCCCCCCCCCAAAAAAAAGTATGTGGCATAACATACTCACTTTACCAAAGAAGAAACCAAGGCCCAGGGAATTTACAAGTGACATACACAAAATTATGTATTTAATTAACCAGAGACCACGTTTAAACTCAGGTTTTCTCATTCTCAATACTAAGCTCTTTCCACTGACAGAAACAGGTGCTATATATACAAATCATGCCTATCATATGGGAAAACAAAAATAATCAACCATTTAGGAAATAAGTTAAGAGATGCTGCTTCTTGGATATCATTTACCAATGGGTTTTATTCACTGGCTGGAAAGGTGTTCTCCTCTCGGTGAGAAGCATTTCCAATCCCAATCTTTCTGCATCCATATATTGCTAACTGCCTTTTCAATCCTTTAGGATTAAATTTAAGAGCTTCTTTTTCCCTACTGGTCCAACAATTAAAACCACAACTGAGAAATCATAGCAGAAAACACAAAGGATTCTATCTTGTCCCTCTTAATAAAAGTGTATGCTGCCTCCCAGAGAAATACAAATGTAATGAAATGCTGGAACAAGAACAAAAATGTACAATAATCCACAGCTTAAAACTTTTGTGGTCTGAGTCCATTATTGTTTTTCTATCTCCCTTCACAGCTGATATTCTTTTCAATACTGAGGGAATAGTCATATGTACATGAACATAAATCCACAATGTGATAGACTTATCCAAACATAGGTAGACCAAAAAAAAAAAAAAAAGCCTACCACAATTAACAAAATTCTAACTAATTCTCATTTCATTAGGAAGCTGACGAGAGCTGTGGTTATACTTGTTTGTAGGTTACTGGGTTGCATTTTTGTTTACTTGCTTGCTTGTTTTCAAAGAAAGAGAAAGTTTTTGTACCCCCATTTGTTTACAAGGAAATTGTTAGAAATATATGCATATGATCAATTCTCGTTTATGCACTGAAATGAAAGAATTGACAAAATTCAATATTTCACAAAAGAATATACATGTAATATATACTTATCATATACTTTTTGAACAAATATTTTATTTTTAAAACAAAATTAGCTTTAAGAAAGCATCCAAACATATTGATTTCATTTTATGTTCCCTGCTAGATGCTTCCTACAGAGTCAATAAATACTGGTATTTTTAAAGATGACCATGAGAAACAGAGAAGACAAAACAAAAGCCTATATAATATACAAGGTTTATAGCCAACTCTCAGAAGGGATAGTCAGAGATCTACAAATATTTAAACTTCACATTTATCTCAGAAATCTGTCCTCTAATCTAGTCTCTCATATTGAGATTGAGTCCCAGGTAAAAAAGATTGATATGCCAAGTCAAATCACAGTTCTTAGCTGTATTATTGAGATGAAAAATACCAAAATAACAGCCATATAGGAACAGTGGGTGATGGAACTAAAATACAGAAAAGTTTCATTATTTTGGAGAAAGAAGTTTAAGTATAAAGTTTAAAGCTAGCTAGGGATAGCAGATTTGCCCAAAACCAACTTTTCAGGAAGTAATAATGAAAAGATAGTGATGCTTTATAATCTGGTGGAACCTAGGAAGCATTCCTATAAAGCAAAGTGTAGCTGGGGTCCTGAGGCAGCCAAATAGAATAAGCAAAACACTATAAAATAATTAGACCCAATTCTGCTTTTGTGTCCCTGCACAAACTGGTATCTTTGATGATGACAAGGGCATGCCATCTCTGATGATGAAAAGGTAAGACTCTCTCTGCACATCTTTACACTTCCCTTCCCCACAGTGAAGGTCCAAGAGAGAGGGATCATATCTGTTTTACCCTTTTTATTCCCAAGGCCTAGTACATTGACAAGCGGTTGACACTCAAAACATACCGGCAGAATAAAAACTGAAATGAAGGGCACACTTAAGAAGACTCTTAAAATCTAGAAGAAAAGAGAATTGTAGGGAAAAAGTGAGACATATGATAGATGTCATTAAGAGACCAGAAATAAATTCTCAGAGAAGTAATAATAGAACAGTTTTTTAAATTGATGTGTTTATGCAAATCTAAAAAGCTTACCAGGTACCAGGTAAAATTATTGAAAAAAGACTACCACCTAAACATGATTCAAAGACATTTAAAAGTTTCAAGGATGAAAACACAATCCTAAAGGATTTAGAAAACTAAAATACAAAAACAAATAAAATGTGATCTAAAATCCCCCAAAAGTAATGTCAGAAGACAATTGTGTAGCGTTCATCAAACTTTAAGAGGAAAGATTATGAAATACATGACCAAACTGTTGTTTGTGTACAAAAGGAAAGATAGTTCTAATTATACAAAGAAATGGAACATATACCTCTCAACTTAACCTTCCTAAAAAGATTTATTTGAAAGTTTACTTCAGGATTAAGAGGAAAAGTTCTAAAAATGAAATCAAGATTGAGAAAATATAAAAAGATTTGTGGAGGGTATTAAAACCAATTAAATATATATTGTCTAAATAGCTACTGAAAAAATAATGGTAGAGCCTTAAAAGCATAAAAGTTTAAAGAACACAATTTGGGGGTCCTGGGTGGCTCAGTCGTTTAGGTGTCCAACTTTGGCTCAGATCATGATCTCATACTCCGTGGGTTCGAGCCTTGCATCGAGTTCTGTAATGTCCACTCAGATCCTGAAGCCTGCTTCGGATTCTATGTCTCCCTCTCTTTATGCCCCTCCCCTGTGCTCTCTCACTCTCTCTCAAAGATAAACATTAAAAAATTTAAAGAACACACATAAAAATATATTGTTACATAACATTGATAATACAGAATAGAAATAACAATAATGTGAATCTAAAACAGTACTTTGTATCACCAAAGCAGTGAGTTAATAGAATATTGCTTATAAATTGGTCAATTAAAATAAAATAAAGACATTTCAAAAATCAAAAACTGAATGAAATCATATTCTCAGACAAGTATATAATAAATCCAGTAATAATATAATTCAAAATTTCAAAACACTTAAAAATACTAAAACAACATCACAAAGCAAACACAGTTCAATAACTAGGAATTTAGTAAAATATTTTCCATATTAATTAATTGAAGAAGAAGAAACTATTCAGTTGAGGATGGCTGTCAAGTGCTTTCTTCCTGCAATGGACTCTCTGGCCCAGAAGAGATCAACTATCAGGTCTTGTGAAGTCACCTCACAGAGTGGAAACTACCTTCCATGTCCCAGACTGCTTCTTGATTGCCTATTCTTGAAATTATTAGTAAATCTTGATACTGGGCAAGATCTTTGACTCACATGAGTCTGATTTGACAATCTGATCCTTTGTGCTGTATGAGATTGTGGATGAGGATTTGATGCAAGGATGGTTGCCTATCCATTTGTGAAAAGTGATGAAAGCTTTGAGGCAAATTACAGATGATAAATCTTACCAATGAGATTGGAGGAATTCAGAATTTGTAGGAAATAGGCTTAGACCTAGGGGAAATAGCTAAGTAGATTGAGGGTGGCAGGCAGAAAGTAGTAAGTAACCACTATGACCAGTTTAAACCTCCTCAGTATATCAATGGCAATACGCCTGAGTGAAAATTTTTTGTAAACCAACCAATCAGTAGGAGTTGCTTGCTTCTGAAAGTCACCTAGTCAGGAACAGACTCCAATAAACTGTCTCTGAATGTACTCTCACCCAAGTAGCAATGCTTCTGCAGATTGTCAGCTCAGTTGTACTTCTGAAAGTCCATCAATCCTTGCACTCCAAGCTTCCCCAAGAGCCCTATATAAAATCAACAGTCTGCTCTATTCACAGTGACTATGTCTGACTAGCATAGCTTTCACACGGTAAGCAAGAAATTCAGCTTTCTCTTTTTATTCAGATTTTATTATGGCCTCCTCATCATTTAACATTGTTTAACATTCCCTCAAGATCATTTTGAGGACCCTCGCTTGGCACCATTCCAAGGGACCCCTGGCCAATCGAATGACTCACTGGGCCCCTTGTGCCCAAGCTGCTTTGCCATCTGCTGCCAGACAAGTCAACCATGAACTGAGCTCTAATTTCAGTAAGGTCTTGATGCAACGTTTTCTCATTTGAAGATCTGTAACCAGATTTAAATAAGAGAATTAAAAGTATACCTTGATAGGAGTGCCTGGGTGGCTCAGCTGGTTAAGCATCCGACTTCAGCCCAGGTCATGATCTCACAGTTCATGAGTTTGAGCCCCATGTCGGGCTGTGTGCTGTCAGCTTGGAGCCTGGAGGCTGCTTTGGATTTTGTGTCTTCCTCTCTCTCTCTGCCCCTCCCTCACTTTTTCTCTCTCTCGCTCTCTCAAATAAACATTTAAAAAATAAAAAAAGAATATACTTTTCTATAAGATGATGGGACCTTTTGTTGTAAAGATATACATTTGATTAATATTTTAGTCATTTACTTGCTTATTTTTCCACTGCTTGTTTTCTTCTGTGTGTGTGTGCATGTGTGTGTATAGGGTCTTATTTCATATGCTTTTGTTTTGTCCTACATTGTCTTGCTTCTGGTTAAGTGTATAAGGCAGTGCTAGGGATTGTGTAGAGATATAGGTCTGATAGGTCTCCAATGAATCCAAGCTGATCCTGACTGCTAACGGATGGAAGTCCAGAACTAACAAAATAATTTTTGAGACAGAAAAAAAGTTTATAAATTAAGAATTCCAAGATACCAACAGAAGAAAATGAAAGCAAGAGCCGAGTCTCTCAAAGCATGGAGCTCTGTGGGACTACCCAGCTTGCAAACCCTTGTAACAAGTCTTGTGGAGCTCTTTTAGATTGGCAATCAATTTGTGAAAAAATGATTGATCAATATTTTCCTTGGATTTCCTTCAAAACTTGTGAAACCTTGTTCATTTGTGAAAGATCACTTTGTTTAGTCCATATTCCGGGGTCAATAGTTAAGCTCCTCATTGAGGCTGACATGATGTGGCAGATTTCATTTTCCTATAGATGACCACAAGAATAAAATACATCCCATATGCTTTTCTTTTCTTTTTTTTTTTTTTTTACAAATAGTTTATTGTCAAATTAGTTTCCACATAGCACTCAGTGTTCATGCCCAAAGTGCCCTCCTCCATACCCCTCCCCCCCTACCCCCCACATCCATCAGTCCTCAGTTTTTGTCAGCATTCAAGAGTCTCTCATGGTTTGCCTCTCTCCCTTCCCCCCACCATTTCCGCCCTTCTTCTCCCCCTTGTTCCTCCGTCAAGTTCCTCCTAATCCTCCTATACGTGCAAACA